GGCTTCAAGAACCGGTTCCTGGTCTAATCCTTAGGTCAACATTTTCTGAACAGAATCCTGTTATTGTGTGGAAATTATCCAGAAGCAATGGAAGCCTCCAAGTACACGACCAGCCACAGAGCAGAAAGGCTCGCGGATCAAAGCCACAGAGTATGGTAAATCAATGTACACCATGTGTGAAAATCAAGAGGCAGGAGAAGTGGCAGGTTAATGCTTTGCCAGGGGTGCAGGTGGATGGAAGGACCACATACCTGGACCCTGGGTAATGTTCTGTCCCGCTCTCGGCCTTTCCGCCAACACAGGGTACCCAACACCAGCACTGGTGCTTGAACAAGGGGCTAGGACATGGATAGCACCAGGGGCCACCATGCCTGAGCTTTATTAGAGAGACTCAGGGCAAGCATCGCCGGCCCAGCTGTAGCCCACGGTGACCCACAGGACAGCCGTGACATCAGTCTGTGTTCCTGGGGCTGACACATGGGCTGATTCGGGCCATGACAGGGGTCACTGATGGGTCCCTGATTTAGAGATATCAGAGTTTTCAGCCTGGACATGCACGGTCTGTTTCTGATCGCTTGCCCTTTCCATCCCTGCCTGTGTATAGTACATTTCTGCTCGTTCCTTCCTTTTTATTGCATAACACGTCCTACAGGTTACCAGCTGTCTACATTTAAGACATCTCAGGAGCGCCACCCACATCCCACGGGCCACAAGTTTCCCACTCTCTGTACTTGACCAAACATTTTCAGTTTCACATATTGCATTTGTTTTCCTACCATTATCGACAAATTGACCAGTCTCCGATGTAGAAGATGATCATGACACCTGCCCTTTGGTGATCTGCATCGATTAGGGCTCCTTGGTAGCAAGGAACAGACACCAGCTGTCACGGGCTGAATTGGGCTCCCACCAAATTCATCTGTTGAAGTCCCGACCCCCAGTAATCAGAACGTGGCTTGATTTAGAGATAAGACCTTTCAAAAGGTGATTAAGGTAAAATGAGGCCAATAGGGTGGGCCCTGATGCAGTGAGACTGGTGTCTCAGGACACAGACATGCATGGCGGGGCGCCCATGGGAGGATGTGGGGAGAAGGCTGCACACATGGACTCGGGCGGAACCAGCCCTGCCAACACGTGGATGTTGGACATCCAGCCTCTGGAGCTGGGAGACGATAAATGTCTGTTGCTGAAGCCACCCAGGATGTGGTCCTTTGCTGCCGGGGATGGTGCCGGCTAACACACCCACTCACACTGAAGGTGAAAGTGGGGAGGCGGTCAGTATCCGGAGCCCCAGTCCCACCAGCCTCAGGGTCAGCACGTGCTCCCACACTGCCCTGGGCCCTCTCCATCGTCCTCCCCACCGCTCCACTCCCGGAAGCTCCTCCATCACGCATTCTGAGATTCCGAGTCTAACGAAGATGCAACTCTCTCCGCCGCTGGCTGTCTACCTAGGAGATCCCCACCTCCCCCCGAAACATGGAGCTCCCCCCACTAGAGAGGTCTAAACTTTTGTCTGAAGTCCTTGAAGGACATGGGAAGTTCTAGAAGGTCTCCTGAGTTGCTGCTTTCCAGGCTGGTAGGAGATGGGCAGGATGGCACAGCTTTGCCAGGTATTAAATGGGTCCGGTTGGCATTTCAGCTTCGTGCCTAGTAAAACCAAGCCACCTTTAAACAGACACATCACTCCATTGCATTGCTCCGAGGTGGAAAGCCTGTTTCTAAAAGCAAAATAGAAAGTATATAAAACTTTCCACTGCCAAGCAATGTATTCAAAGATAGCCATTATCAGGATGGCCTCCTCTCTTCTGAGGGAAATCCAATGGTACAAGTTGCAGAGGGCTTGCCCCCAAGTGGCCGCCCTCAGCCCAGTTTCCCCAGGGCCCTTTAAGAGCCGAGTGTGTGTGTGTGTGCGCGCACGCCCGTGCATGCGTGTGTGTGCATGCGTATGAGAGACACGTCCTTCCTCGTGCCTTATCAGCAGAACTGTTCCCACGAAGGCACTTTATTGTCACAGCTGCCTGTTCCCACCCCTCTCCCCAAGGTGCCTCAAGGACTCAAGGGGCCTCAGGCAGCCGCCAACTGGCCACCCTGGACTCTCACTGCTGGGAGAGGGGCCAGGAGGGGCTGTGAGGGGGCCACGTGGGGCCGGGAGGGGCCAGGAGGGGGCCTGGAGGGTGGTGGTCTGGAAGGGGCTGGGAGGGGGCCGGGAGGGGGCCAGGAATGTGTCCAGGGGTCCACCCCACAGGCTGTGATGACTGCTCTGTGTTCCCAGCACTGAGGGCACAGACCCTCACATTGTCGCTGGGCCTCTCTGTCCTGCCAGCACTGTCCATTCTCTCCTTGAACCCAAGGAGGAAGGCACACGTCCCTAGTGCCCCCTGCCCCCAGCTCCAGCCTCTGCACCTGCTCGTGCAGCCTCAGCCTTCACCCCTCAGGCTCCACAGCCCACCCAGCAAAGCTTCAGGGAGCTGGGGCCACCAAGGGATGGAGGGACCAAGGCATGGAGGGACAGATGCCAGAAACCCGCCCTGAGCATTCCTTGAGGCACTCGGGTTCTGGAGCTATCGAGGTGCCCCACCCACCGGCTCTCTGTCAGGGCCCCCACACTGGCTGCCCGACTGTTTTCTCTCCCTCCCCTCAGCTGCAGCCTACAAGCGGATGCTTGGGGAGGTTGCAATTTTCCACAAGGACCGAGTGGCGTAGACCACTCCCTGTGTCCCACCTCCCGGGCAGGGACAGAAGGACATGTGTCCCCACCAGCCTGAGGCAGGGCCATCCCGGCAAGAATCCCCAGGCTCTCTCTAGGCCTGCGGTCCAGATGGTGGAGCCAAGATCATGCACCCACACATCCTGGACGGCCCATGGTGGATGGCGGACCTGGATTTCTCCCCACGTCACATGCTGGGAGGGGGAGCTGAAGCCACTAGCCAGCCCTCCCTCACTGGGGACCCACCTAGTCAGTCACCTCGTCACCTGGCTGGGGCCCCCCGACCTGATGCATTTGCCAGGAGAAAGGCCCGTCCCTGCTGGGCACCCCCAGCCAGAGAAGCACTTCAAGTCATGGAGCCCCCGGTCTGCACGTCATGGAAAGTGTCACCAATGCCACACAGCTCTTGGGGGGGGGTGGTAAAGGGAGACATCCCATGATCAAACTCCCCACTGTGTCAGCCCCACTAGAGACTTCATCTATTCAGTGCGTTAGGGCACGTGTGACACGGGAAGGAACAAGATGGGGGGTTGCTCTGGTGTCCCAGCGCCCCCCCCCCAGCTTTCTCTCATTGCATCCTTGAAATTATCAGTAAGCATGTGATCCATGAGGGTGGGCAGGCCAGTCGGGCTGTGGGTCTGCTCACACAGGCGAACTGGAAAACATTCTTGGCCCCGTTCTCATCAGTTACGGGGCGGGGGGGGGGAGACAGGGGATGAAGATAAGGATGAGGGATCATTTGGGAGGGAGTTGGTTTTGAGAACAAAGACATGACTTTTGACTCTCCCCACACCTCCCTCTGTTGCTGCTCACTTCTGATGCTGAGCCTGAGGTTTCCAGCCGAGAGAGAGCCTGAGCCGCACAGATGGCTTAGGGAGAAGTTGCCAGGTGCAGAGGAGGGAACAAATGAATTGCCCGTATTCCTTTAACAGCTCAAGGGCCCAGCCTGGAGGACTCAGCCTAAGCGGTTTCACGTTGGGTGAGAGTGTGCCCCCACCCGTGGTAGCTGGGCCCTGGTAATGTGCTATCAAGGAACAGGAACGCCAGCCAGCGGTGCTCTAACCCATCAGGACATTTGGGTTGACTCAACATGAAGTCTCAGGGTGGGTGAGTCAAATCATAGCCCAGGGATGTCTAGTTCTATGGCTTTTCCTCATTAGCAGAGAAAGGCTGCTTGAAGCACCACATTGCACTCTCACACCACACATCCAAAGGCAGGCTTCAGGGGCTGGCCAGGGCAGCAAGAGGGAGCTCTTCTTCCAAGGAGGAAAAGTCATTCCCCAGAGCCTCCAAGTAGATGCCCTCCCGCCTCATGAGTCAGAACGAAGTCCTAGAGACTCCTCCAGCTGAAATAGTGGCCCCCGCTTTTTATAGACTGGAAATCAGGTAAGAAAGAAGGTGGGGAATGAGTAGCAGGTCCCCAGAAAACAGGCCTGGTGCTCCCTGTCAGCGGGGAAAGCTCATCCGCCTGGCGCTGGGGACCAGAGCAGCTGTACTCCCCAGGATGCTCGAGCTGCCCACGACAATCTAACAGCCGGTGCTGGCACACACACCTCATTCCCTCCTCTGACCCCCACGCCTCCCCGAGGTGGGGTGAGCCTATGTAGGATGAGAAGCCATATGTGGCAATGGTGTACCTCCCTCTCCAAGAAAGGATAATCATTTGCAATTTTTAAAAAAGAACTGAAAGCATGAGTAACATTCATCTCCTTTAATCGTTAAGCCAATTTTGAGTCCAGGGGTGTGTGCCATCTGTCCAGGAGCCGAGGCGCGGATGCGGAGGGCCTCGAGTGCCTGCCGGTGACGTGGCTGGGCTCCCGGCCGCCGGCCGAGGCCATTGCAGCTCCTGGCACCGCAGCCCCGAAGCGCATCTAGAAGGAGCACTCCTCTGAAGGGTGAGGTGTGAGAAGGAGACACAGGCAGTGAAAACCCCACGGTTTGTTCACTTGTGAATAACTACAGAGATGCCACTTGGAAGCACCAAGGGGAAAAGTCCTTAGAAAACACTCCCCGCCTTCCTATTTCAGTTACTCTCTCCCATCCCACCCAAGCAGGGATAAAGCGCTACCAGGATCCTTCACGGGCTTGCACTCAGTGATGTGAAGAAACACAGGGACAAATAGGGCTCCTTGCCAAGCGGTCTCCCAGCCTGGTCTTTGTGTCCCCCACCCGACATCAGCCTGATGCAGGCTGGACCACCTCCCCACGCTCGCCCGTGGCCCCTGGTGCAGGTACAACACAGCTGGCCGCGCAGACTAGGGCCCCGCGCTCCCATGAGGTTTTCTCCCTCATCCTACACCTTCAGACCCCACAGGGCCTCCCTGGCCATACCGTCGGCAGTGTTGTCCACGGCCACAGGGTGGAAGCACCACGGGACTCCACGAAGAGTGTTGTCGAAACAGCAGCCATTAGCTTTACACTGGGAAGGCGTGATACCCGGAGGGCCGCAGTTTGCTCTCTTGGCGGGGTCCACCACACACGTCTCTGGGGGTGCAGGGGTAAGAGGGAGGGTAAGTCGCTGGCGGACGTCCATCTTCCTTCTCCAGTTGAACCAGCAGCCAGCTGGTGCCACGGATGGGGACTTAGGGCTCAGGCTACAAGAGGGATATCCCAGCCTCATCTCCTGGTAGGAAAACCCTTCAGCTCAGGGCAAATGCAAGGTGCCCAGGATTTGCCAATTTTACACCTACCTACGTAATTTATCCCTGCATTCGTTCACTTCAACAAACAATCCTTTAGCTTTATTCAATCAATAAATATCTATCGAACACCATTTGTGTGTGCTAGAAACGGAAATTAGCACCGCAGAAGTAGACAGTGAAGGTCGCTCAAGGACCGAGCTCATGTTGGGGCCCGTGCCAGGGGATGGACCCAGAAACTAAAAACAGAGAAGTCTTGGTTAAGAAGCTAACAGTCTAACAGAGGAGAAGAGCCAGTGAATGTACGGAACAGCGCCGTGAGGCCACCCCAGTGCGCTGAAGGCAAGCGCAGCAGGCACAAGGACAAGGCAGAGAACAAACCAAGGAGGGCTTCCTATGGGAGGAGGTTACCAGGCGGGATGAAGGACACCGTGGGTGTACCCCACAGAGGGAGCAGGTGTTCAAAGGCAGTCGAGAAAGAGCAAGGTGTGTTTTAGGAGGTGTAGTCCGTTTGCAAGAAAGACAAAGAGGCTGGGGTGGGGTGGATGCCTTCAACCTCTTAGCGGCTTTAACCCGGGGGTCGGGGGGGGGG